CCATGACCAGACTTTCCCAAATTATTCTTTCTCCTCCCCCCCACCCCACACCCCCTCCATTGTGCCATGCTACAACTTAGCCCAGCAAGATCACAAAGAAAAAATTAAGCTGAAACAAGCGAACTACTGGGCCATTTACTGAGAGTAATCCAATTGCAAAAAACCCTATTCCCAATAGAGGATTTTCACTAAAATCCTACAACAGGGACATTTAACCAGATTAGGTACCAGGGAAGATAAAGAGGCTAGTATTAGATGATGAATGGATTAGAGTCAAGTTTCATTTCAGAACGTGTCTTCATTTCCTTTTATTACTTTTAGGAGGGCACAACTTGCATTAACATCAAGGAAGAGGAATTGCATGAAAAGAAAAGTGAGGGTCTCGTGCTGCTCACTAGCGCCTCCCGAGTTCAGGGACCACCATGCAGTTAGTTCTCATCTTTTTTTTTTTTTTTTTGGTAAATAGGTGAGGAAGGGGTACAACATAGAGTATTTCCTACCACAGTTCATTGTGGGGAAGGCATCTTTAAAAAGTGCTTCTCGCTTTCTCATGAATATGTTTGGAAAGAAAAATATGCCCTTCTTGATGCTCCAGAAAAAATAAAATAAAAAAAACTACAGAAAAAGAGGCCGAGCCTTCCCACAGCCTGATTTAATGAAGCCTATAAACAACTGGACACTTTGGGAGAAAGCGCTAGCTGGTGGCTCACAGGAGCCTTGCGTTGTGAGTTATCAGTGTGCAGCCAAAGCATGAAAATAATAAATAAATAAATAAAAGCACCGACATTAAAAATGCCAAAGCGGAGGGGAGCTTTGGAACTCAGTAATACATCCTTCGTCAGCAGCCCTGATGGTCTGGACAGGCCAAAGGCAGTGGAAGGAGAGGCCGCTGCCCCAGGGCTCACGGGCGCGCACTGAGGAGTTCTTTAGGGAATGCTGCTGTTTAGTAGGACAGCATGAGAAGTAACCAACAGGCAAGCTCCCATTGTGTGCTGGGGTGGAGAGGGAAAGAACACGGAGAGGCAGGGAGGGAAAGGGACCGCCATGGTCACATGAAGCGAAGACCATTAAGAGGAGAGGAAAAGGACTGTTGCTGCCTTCCCAAGTTTTCTATTTGGTTGGAAAGATACACACCCGCTGAAATGAAAAACAGCAGGCCAGTTCCAGACAGTTTAAAGTAACTGCAGGAAAACCGTGAAACCAGAGGGAAGAACGACAGACAGCCCAGGAGGGGAAGGAGGATGGTCACTAAGAGCTGGAAGGACTTCCAGGGAATGGACTACCGTACACAATGGAAGGAAGCAAATGTATAAACCCGAGAGCGGTGTACAAGTGCTGGGAGTGGGCAGCGAAACTGGCAATTCGAGTTAAGCATCTCTCAGGATGCTTATCACCAATTCAGATCCCTGATCCCAGGAGATCTTCTGGTACAGACCTGAGGAAGTCTCACCTGGGTCCCACTGAGTGCCATGATCCCTTGACCAGAGAGCCAGGCAGGCACAGACAAGCACACAGGTCCTAGGAGACCTGTCCTACTCATCAATCAAGTCCTAGTGTAAGAGAATCCATGGAAAGGGCCTAGCACAAACCCTCCCACAGGTAAGCACAGGAAGGTGGCTCACTACACTGTTACTGTTACTGTTATTGTTACTGTTAGGGAGAAGCTGCCCGATGTCGTGGTTTTTGGCTGTGGCACGAAAGTGCCCATTGCACAGCTGTCTTTCAAGCAAGACTAACAGGAAATGAGGGGGAAACCTTTCTCTGTTTGTCCGGCAAAGAATAAAGATAGCTTTTGGGCAACAGTGGTGTTATTTGGACGTACGCAGAATTTAAAAGTTAGCCCGGCTGGTGTGGCTCAGTGGTTGAAGTTGAACTATGAACCAGGAGGTCACGGTTCGATTCTGGGTCAGGGCACCTGCCCAGGTTTCGGGCTCGATTCCCAGTAGGGGGTGTGCAGGAGGCAGTCGATCAATGATTCTCACCATTAATGTTTCTCTCTCTCTCTCTCCCCCTTTCCTATCTGAAATCAATAATAATATATTAAAAATTAAGTCTCCCTTTCTCTTAGATACATGTATAAAGATGATTCCAACAAAAGTTGGGCACCTGTCCTGGATGGGCACCTGTCCTGCCATCACCTGAACCTAGCCAACTGTTTTTTTTCCTGTTTGGTCTAAACTCGAAAGCATAGGGGTGGAGTGAAGGGGATTTGAAGATATATATATATTTCTTTATTGATTTCAGAGAGGAAGGAAGAGGGAGAGAGAGATTGAAACATCAATGATGAGAGAGAATCATTGATCGGCTGCCTCCTGCACGCCCCCTACTGGGGATTGAGCCCGAAACCCAGGTATGTGCCCTTGGCCGGAATCGACCCTGGAACTATTCAGTCCGCAGGCTGACGCTCTATCCACTGAGCCAAACAGGCTAGGGCAGAAGTACTGATGGTGCCTTTCGGAGGGAAAGCAGACATGGTGCTGTTTTCTGACCCTACTTGCCTACCAGGCAGCTCATTACAACACAGTGTAGCCACAAGTCTCTCCAGGTTGATTGGTTCCCAAGCAAAGCAGGGATGTGGTCATAGATGCAAAAGCTAGGGTCTAACTCCCATGGGCCTCCTGCACCTGGGTTGCTTTGACAAGAGGATGTTCTTGCTGAAAAAGCCTCGTCTCTCCAGCCTCAGAACCCCAGCGTCTTTTCTTCCTGCGCTGCCTTACGCCCACTGCTGGGGTCATGCATGTACCTCTCTTACACTCCTTAAGCACAAGGACTGTGTCTTCTAGAACTCTGTGTCCCCTGTCATGCTCAGCCTGTGCGAGTGCTGAGCACAATCTCACAAATTGCACAAGAACCATCAAATTGCAACTGCAAGTATTATAAGAAAAGATAGAGCCAACCTCACAGATCCATAGCAGCCAATGAGAGTGCTCTCTACATGGAGTCTATGCAGAATCATGGCACAGAGCTTGG